GATCTCATCCCCCCTTGGAATGTTGTCTGTAATCCACTTGCAGGGCGACGCCGCGCCCTCTGCCGTCTCCAAAGCGGGCTTCTTCGAGCCGCACCGGATGTTCGGTCTGCTGCGTAAGCCCTTCCGCCGGAAGTCAGCGCCCTCGTCGCCCGTCGCCCCGCCGCGCTCCAGGGGCGGGGCGGGCAGGCGGGAGTCGGGGGCGGCCAGCGAGGGGGGCGATCCCGTAGGTTTGGCCGGGTTGTTTGACGTTTGACGGCATGGCCCTGACGCTTTTTAGCCTTGCGGCACAAAATTGAACAAGGTGTTCCGGAACAACTTACCATAAATTCTACAGGGTGAACTATAGTCCATATTTTGCCGATTGGAATCAACTTACCTCTATATGAAAATGCACCGTTGAGCCGTAAGAGGACGATGAAGAACAATTTTATTTCCAGATTTTCTTCAATATTTCGAAATTCTTGAAAGACACTGCTCTGAAATTCGTTGGCAGATTTACAATAGTTATTATATATGCATGGAAAACATGTACCAATTTAATGTACAGGGAGTTAGATATTTTGAATTCTCTTTGATAAAAATTAATGTAACTTTTTTGGAGTACGGCACTGACCATATTTTGATATTTCTAAGATCAATTATCTCACTTATTTCTAACTGCAATTTTTTTTTTTTTTGTTTTGTAAATACCAACATTCATTTTAGTGCTTCTGCATAATATACTACTCGTTTATGAATAGAGCAGTTCAGCTATCGTTGAAAAAAATGTCTTCCTCATTTGTTCTTGTCTTCAGTGTTCCATCATAAAATAATGAACATTTTATGTTGGCAGCACTGGAAAAAAGGATAAATGGAGAAGAAGACTATTCTAAACTTTTTCATATTGAGATTTTCATTTTTATTTTATTTTATTAATTGAAAATGTGACTTTCAGTCAGAAATAAGTTCTGGTATGAGGAAGTATAGGTAGTTAACAATAATACCTGAAACTATACAATTATAATAATACTCATAAATAATGTAATATTTGAATACATTGAGTATTCAATTTTGACAAATCATTTCATATTAGTTAGCAACAATCAATTTGAATATGAATCAAAAGTTGAAAAAGAAATCATCTATTTCGTTCAGAAATGATAAATTTTTCAAGTTCGTATTAGAATTTTATATCTGCAATTTTTCATATTATCTAGTAATTCATTATATTCGAAAAGAGCAGCGTGAGTGAATCTTTCTTTGCCCATAGAATAATTAGCGAAATCAAGATGAAATAAACCATGTTGTCTAGTTTGGTAATCATGAATTTTATTGTTTGGTGTTAAAATAAAATTGGATTTCAATTCAATTTAATTTAATTTAATTTTAATTCAATTTAATTTTTATTTAATTTTTAATTTTCAGCAATTTCAATTTAATTTATTCAGCAAATTATATTTATACATAGTATACGTCCTTAGATACATATATTAAAACTTGATAGTTGAATTAAAATTAAGCTGGGGTAGTTGGAATAGCCGCCTAAGCCTGAATGGCCTGTGTTGCAGTTATACCTACTAGCCCAAGGAATTATTGTAAGTACCTATATAGCGATCACTAAGTATTCAAGAGAAATAATTATATAATAATATAATAATAAAATAATTCAATAGTGAAAATTTGTCGATAAGTATCTTTTAAATCGATTGAAAAATCGATTGAAAAAGCTGGATGGAGAGGGGATATCTATATGTTTATATATACATATTTTAATTAATTCGTCCTTCAGATAGGACTAGGTTTTTCTAAAAAAATCTACTTTCTAGTTGATTTTGTCGGATGTGTGTCTTCATAGTTGTTTTGAAAACTCTCAAATTATTGCACTTTTTTAATTCCGTCGGTAAGCTATTGAATATTTTTGGACCAAAATAAAAGATGCTTCTTTGCATATGGGTTTTATTGAATCTTGGAATGTATAGAGTGTGCTCGGTGGTATGTCTTGTATTTCTGGATTGACTAAGAATTCTGTTTTTTTTATTAAATATCCAAATTTGGCTCTGTAAAATGTAAATATTCCTGATATTCAGTATATGTGATTCCTGATAAAGTTGTTCAGTGGAGTGTAATCTAGTTTTCTTTAATATTATTTTCAGAATCGTATTTTGGGTTGTTTGCAATTTGTGGATAATGTTGTTAAAGGCTCCACCCCAGGCTGTTATACAGTATCTGATAACGGATTCAATTAATGAATTATAGACTATCATTATTACTTTTCTACTCAATATGTCCCTAAGTGTATAAAATTTATGAATGAGTTTTCTTGATCTGTTGATAACATAGTTAATATGCTCGTCCCATCTGATATGTTGATCTAACATTACTCCTAAATATTTAATTGTGTTGGTTTTTACTATTTTGGGACATGTGCAATCACCATGGCCTTGGCAATCATTTTTCTGAATATTCAGAGTTTCTCCTGATGGTTGATCTCTTTGGTCAAGTGAAAAAGCTATGTATTTGGTTTTCGAGAAATTTAAGCTAAGAAGGTTTCGATTTAGCCATGTATAAAGCTTAGTAATATTGTTTTCAGCAAGTTGATATAGCTCTGCCCAACAGCTATGATCGAAAACGATGGCAGTGTCGTCTGCATAAGAAATTATATGACCGTGGAAGTTTTTAATCTGACTCATGTCATTTATGTAAATTAGGAAAAGGAGAGGGCCAAGTATTGTACCTTGTGGTACACCCACAGTAACCACCGCTGAATCGCTCAGAGCATTCTGGATTTTGACTCTTTGTGTCCTATTTTGAATGTAGTTACGGAATATCTCCAGTGCTGGACCTCTTATACCATTGTCGAATAACTTGTCTATTAGAATTCTGTGTGAAACCGTGTCGAATGCTTTGGCCAAGTCAATAAAAACGGCCAAACATTTCCTTGAGTTATCTAAATTTTGTATGATCTGCTCGGATAGTTTTAGGACAGCATTTTCAGTACTTAAATTTTTCCTGAATCCAAATTGGTTCTCAGTCAACACCCCATTCATATTGAAATAGCTCATTATTTTTTCTCTTAGACAGTATTCAAAAACTTTTGCGAAATTATTAATTATAGATATCGGTCGATAGTTTGTGAGTTGATTTTGTTTTCCCGATTTATAGATTGGAGTAATAATGGATTCTTTCCATTGTCTAGGAAGTTTTCCTTTGGTGAATACTAGATTTATGAGCTGTAATAATGGAGACGTAAGTTGAGTATGCAAAGCTTTTATTAATTTTGATGTAATACCGTCCGGTCCTGGGGAACAATTATTTTTTAATTGTGATATTGCTAAAGTGATGTCGTTTTTTTCTACGGTACTGAGGTAAATAGATGATTTTTGAGTGGTTTTATTGATTTCATTGTCTTGCAAGTAATTTTGCTCAATTTTATCGGCCATAGTTACACCTATATTTACAAAGTATTCGTTGAAGACATTTGCTTTATTTTGATTCCCCGTTATCTCTTGCCCATTTTGGTCTACTATTTGTATGTTACTGACATTTTTGTTTTTTGGTATTATATTTGTGGCCTCGTTTATGATTTGCCATGTTTTTTTATAATTAGTATTATTTTCCAAGAGTTTCTGTTGATAGTACGTGTTTTTTGTGTTTCTCAATATTCTACTAAGACGGTTTCTATAATTTTTATAATTTTCTTTGGTTTCTAAAGTATTTTGCCTTCTCATTATTTGTTTCAGTTTATCACGATGTTTGATGGAGGTTATGAGTCCATTTGTAATCCACGGTTTAAGTTTTTTAGCATTCAATTTATGAGATTTTATTTTGGTATTATTGTCAATGTGGTATTTTAGTTTATTTATGAAAGAATCATAACAAATTTGAATATCAGTACTTTGTAAAATGTTAACCCAGTCTTCGTTATCTAAAACTTTTTTCAGTTTGTTGTAATCGATAATTTTATATTCATATTCATTCGTGGTTCTACTACCCTGTTGTTGGTTGAAAATTAATGCGACAGCTATGGCATAATGGTCAGTTAAATCTGTATTAATTACCATCGATTTTATGTCTATTTTATTTTTTGCAGAATTATCGATTCTTGTGAAAATATGATCGATAATGGTTTTGGATATTTCAGTTTCACGGGTGAATGTGTTAATGTATGAAACGAAACCATGTTCTGTAAGGGAGTTCATGTACGTGTTCACGCTATTTGAGTGAATATCTTTCAAATTTATATTGATATCACCTATGAATAACTCCACTTGCAGTTTCGGAAGAGAAGCGAAGTAGGACTCTAAATCTTCAATATATAGATTCATGTTGGTTGAGGGGGGTCTATATGAAGATGTGATTCCTATATTTATTGATTCCATTGTTATATTCATCCTTAATATGTTGCTTTCACTTAACTTATGAAGATCCACAGTTTTCACTTCTATATTTTCTTTAACGTATACCAAAAGACCATCATTGTTATTAAATTTTGATTCATTGTAGTACTTTTTAAAGAATGGAATATGGTAATTTTCTAATGACTGAATTTTCCATGTTTCAGATAAAATAATTATATCTATTTTTTCTAAACTAGATTGTAAATAAACCATCAACTCTTCAAAATTCTTTCTGACGCTTCTTATATTGAAATGAATTATACCTAAGCCATTAGTTCTGGTATTCAAGAAGCTGTCATCTAAAGTATTAAATATTTCATTTTTTATCTCTCCTTCTCCATCCAACTCCTCCAGAAATTCTATCATTTACAAGAAATATGTATTTGTTTACTATTTACAGAGATTGGAATTAATTTATTTCGTAAATAAGTGTAAGCAGAAGTTGAAAAAGATAGTAAGAAGCTAAAAGGTACGAGCACTCAGCAAATTGTGCCCATATCAATAAAGTTGTATATAGTATAGTCAAATTTTTACCGCTAATTGAAATAATGGAGAATAATAAATTTAATTGAATAGGAAAAACTACAATACGTTATACTGAACATTGAATCACATATAAAGAGTTCATAGTTTGTTTAGATCACATTCATTTTTAATAGAGAACTTTTGATTGTTTTTAGTGGCATAAATGTTTCCAGAGAAAGTCCATACACTTCTTATCGAGGTTTTCTCGATGGCTTTTTTCATTAGGTTCAATCTATGAATGGTGAGATCTTCTTTCATGACGACTCCGGTACCCTTGAGTAATTTTTTGTTTTTGTAAATCATTTGTTGAATTGATGGGTTACTCAGCTTCATAAAGATACCCCTTGGTTTTTCGTTGTTGGCGGTATTTTTTCCTACTCTCGTACACACACTTATGTCATTTTCTTTAAGTTGTAGTTGCATTTTACTATTGAGCAGTTTTATTACCTCATTTTTGGTGTTGCCTGATTCAGATTCTTCGAGGTTGAAGAGTCTTAGATTACTCATTTTTGTTTCTTGCTCGAGATAATCATACCTTTTGAGGACAGTAACGTTTTCCTTTTTCAGTTCTTTTATTTCCGATTTGAGACTGTGTATGACTGTACTATTTTCCGAATCTATTGTATTCAAACGAGTGTCCATATCACTGACTTTTTGTTCTAGCATTGATAGTTTTCTATTCAAACTGGTTAAGACAGAATCAGTTACTTTTTCAGCTATCTTATTTATGAAGTCTTCGGTCAATAGCGAATTCAGTGCACTACTTACTGCGTTTTTTATTTCATCCTTTATTTCACGCGTGATGACCATTTTGGCGGATAGATAACACTTCACTTCACATTTCGATCTTTTATTTATGTTTTTGTATGTAATTTTCAATTTTGAACATTTCTTTTCTAATGAGAATGATTCAGTTATTTTATACAGGGTGTTTCACAGGTAAAGGGAAATATTTCAATGGTAAATAGGGGTCACCAAGGTGGTTCTGAAAATACCATATTTGATAGGTCTTAGAGTTTTCATAACAGAGATACAGGGCGATTTATCGATTTCGAATAATTATTCATTCGTCTATAAGTATTGAACTACCCAGTATATTTTTCTAAAATTCGGTATGGAGCTTAAACTTGGGACGTTGAATGCATTCACCTATTGGGCGAAGTGAAAATCCAGGTTCGGCTTCAGGAAAAATTTACATTTATTCGAAATATTAAAATAACACAATGTATGTGATAATTGACAAAGTTCATCAAAGGAATCGTGAAGAGGGGGAAAAACTGAACTGGATTTGATGCTTTTTGTTTTCCCGCCACCAATTCTTATCGTAACAATCATAAACAGGAAGCTAAAAGTATGTCAATTTCAAGGGTATTAAAATTATGAAACCCCTTTCAAAATGTTACTGGGTAGTTTTATACTCATGGACGAGTGAATAATTATTCAAAACCGATAATTCACCCTGTAGCTCCGTTATAAAAACTGTGAGACTTAGTAAGTTCTTTCGAGCGATTTTTTGACTAAAATATATCGAATAATCATAATTGGCACTGGTTTCATAATTCAAATACTCTCCAAATTGACATACTTTCAGCTTTCTGTTTATGATTGTTACGATGAGAATTGATGGCGGGAAAACAAAAAGCATCAAATCCAGTTCAGTTTTTGCTCCTCTTTACGATTCCTTTGATGAACTTTGTCAATTATTACATACAGTGTGTTATTTTAATATTTCGAATAAATGTGAATTTTCCCAGAAGCCGAACATGGATTTTCTCTTCGCCTGATAGGTGACGTCCCAAGTTTAAGCTCCATACCAAATTTTAGAAAAATATACTGGGTAGTTCAATACTTATAGACGAATGAATTTTCGAAATCGATGAATCGCCCTGTATCTCCGTTATGAAAACTCTAAGACCTATCAAATATGGTATTTTCAGAACCACCTTGGTGACCCCTATCTACCATTGAAATATTTCCCTTTACCTGTGAAACACCCTGTATAATTGATTTGTTGGTGTATCATATGGTAAATGATACCCGTACTTTCAATATCTCTTTATTTAGTACAGATATTTTATTAAAATCGTTTCTGAACAGTATCCTCAAAAATTTATCAAGTAGTTAATATGATATTCTCCATTTTTTCCCATTTCTATACAATTTCCATTATTCTACGTTGAAACACTGGAGACAAGGACAGATGGGGAAGACATTTTTTTTCCCCTCTCAACGCTAGCTGAACTGTTCTATTATCATGTTTTGTCCGTTTCTACCTCATCTGTGTAGAGTTCATGATTTGGGAGATGGTCATTTACAAATTTCAGTTCAGGATTTCTGCATGGTAAAAACACTTTATTCGACAAAAAAAAGGAAAATTTCAAGATGACCAACAACATTATCATATGCTAAAGAACTTCATAAACATTATTATTGTGGTCAACTCAAAACAAATGAGGTGGAAACTTGCACAACATGATAATCGTCATACCAAAATTTTATTTCTGACTGGAAGCTATTTTCTCAATAAACAATAATAAACAATAAACAAGTATGGAGGCGCACCAGAGTTAATTTTGTTAGATATTTCGAAAACCTAGAAAAACTATTGAAACAATGCAGTTAGAAAAATGTGGGATAATTGATTTTGTAAATCATCGAAATTTCAAAATGTGGTCAGTGTCGTACTCCAAGAAAAGTTACATTAATTTTAATCAAAGAGAATGCTGGATACCTAATTCCCCGTATTTAGATTGAATTGGTGCATATTTTCCATACACATTCACTATAGTAAAATGCCCTACCAATTTCAGAGCAATACCTTTCGAAGATTTTGAATTGAAGAAAATTTGGAAATAAAATTGTTCTTCATGCATTTTCGTATAGAGGTAAGTTGGTTTCAATCGGCCTATTTTGATCTCTAGTTCACCCTGTAGAATTCATGGTAAGTTGTTCTTGTATGTACTCACCTAGAATGCCAATCCATACGGATACGCGAAAACAACATTGCACACTACAGATAGGTACGTGCACTTCTGAGTTTGCCCATTGCGACAGCATCGACGTCAAATCTGAAATGGTTTATGTCATCGAGGAGAGTATATAAAGTGTACATGAATTCTTCATCAATAACTCCAGGACAGTTATCAAGAAAATGTAAAATTATATGCATGATGAATATTTTGCTGGAAAATTCCACATAACAAACAGTTCGTATCCACACAGTGACAACTGATATATCTTACTGATTTTCAGAATATTTTCACCATTTTCAAGTAGCATCAATTCATCTTTGGAATCTTTCTGTTGGGAGAATCTCAACCAGATTTGAATATTCGTAGTATCCACGCTGTTTTCCTTATTAATTTCAACCAGGGAGAAAATCTGCGATTATCTGGAAGTACTTCAGCCATATTTTGATTTTTACTTTCACACATGTTTATTAAAAACGAATAGTCCTTCTTTACTTCCGGAAAGACTTCTGCTTCAGGTTCGACTTCTCTCTTACATTTATCGAAATTCCATTCATCTCCATTCAGTTTCAGAAAGTTTGGGTCATTCAACCAACGATTAGACTTCTCAAGATTGCATTCGAAATGTTCTCTTGTTCCATCATCCCCGCCATTTTGGGCTGATGGTATCCAATACCAGTCAGAATGATGGCATGATTCCAAAATTTCACTCACCCTATGAGCCACAAAGGGCTTGAAATTTCTAGCATCCATGCAGCGAAAATGTGTGAAATGAAGGCCTTGTCATAGCTGTCAAATGGAGTGCACCGGTCTGGTCTCGGTGGTATGGGTCACAGTTCACACTAGTTAACAGAATTTTGTGGTCTGGTTAACGTTTTAACTGATTTATTTCATGAGTGAGATTTCATGTATATTAGGAACTAAACATATCTGTATGAATTCAAGATATTAAAACGTCTGTATGTTGATATAAAAACAAAGAGGCCCAGAGGCCGGTACTGACCTCATTTTCAATAACGCGGTATTATTGTTGTATACTGCGCAAGCTCACTAGTGCACGTCCACGAAATCCATTTGGGTCGATAAATTTTCCATTCCATGCATTGGCATTCTAGGTGAGTATGCTTGGGAGTAGGTCGTGATGTATGTTTCCAGGATCATTCAACTTATTCCGAAGTCACTTTTGTGATTGGTTGGAAATATTTTTGTCGATAATCTAGAACACTATATTATCGATTCTGTATTTCGGCTGTTGATTAGATATTGGCAATGGAGGTTGAGGCTTCCTCCTCAAGAATATACAAACATGAATATGCTAATACAGTGTGAACACTCTAGCTGGAATAAATTCGATAGCAGGGAGGAGAATATTTTTCTAAAGATTTACCTACATATCGAGAATATTAGATCGGGGGCCCACTACGTGCTTTTGTGTTTCATTTGTTCACCCAAATTCCACCTTCCACTAAACGTTAATGAGGTCGCCGAATATAAATCGTGGACCAAAGGGTGGGGGCCGCGTATGTGAAGTTGTAAGAAATTCAAAATGATTTTGAAAATCATTAAACGATTCATATTAGTATGGTGATAAATTGATAATATGAAATATTGACCAAACTCCTCAATTTTTCTCAAAGACACCAAGAAACTAAATGTTCACTTTAGAGGACGTGGATCACCCACCAAAAAAAAAAAAAAAACTTGGAGACCGAATTTCGTGTGATAAACTTATTTTTTGCAAAAGTTATTAAGAAAAAACAATTTCACACACCCTGTATTTCCGAAATGCAGCATTTTCGGACACTAGTTTGTATAGACTTTTTGTTTTAAAATTGTCTCAGGAATTTGTATTTTCAATATTTCAAAGCACTCTTGTGTTCACCCTATAAACAGAAATAGCTAACAGTCGTTTGATCGGTTACATTCTCTGATTTAAAAAAATGTTTCTCATGAATCTACAGAATTCGAGAATTAAGGTTAACATTACTCCCACTTAAAAATTATTCAGAATAGAATGAAAATTTTCCGACTTGGCAACATCCAACGGAAAGCAGCCTCTGACTCACCTCTGGCCGCCTCTGACCAATGAAATCGTGTGAAATTACACGGGACCAGCTCCGATCATAAACAAAGGGGAACAAACGATCAAAGCATTTTTGCATTTTGTAGTCTAATTTCATGAAGATTTGTGCTTTAAATAATAAGTGAAGTGGGCTGCTAAAGTTAACTGCCAAAATTACCGAACCAATTAACTTAGGGTCCCGCAGTCAGTAAATTCAGTAAACGAACAAAAAATAGGAAAAATCAATTGTGCAATCGCAAATTTTTGTAGTGGTAGAGGGAATGAGTCCATGAACACTATACTAAAAGTCCTAACCCGTAGGAGATGAGTGAGAGGTAGGGAAACGTGAGAAAATGACCATCAGTTTTCTCAAGTAATTATTAAAAAAATTCCAGATTTTTCGTTTGAGTTTAGGCGTTGGGTGTTTGGTATGAAATTTGAAAGTTGATGTCTTCTTGGAATTGGTATACTATTCTGGAAATATACATCACTATCTTAACTAAGCTTATACCTAACAACACAACACATTTGCAGTGATGGAGGAAAAGTGAAATATTTATTTTAGAAGCTGATACATCGCATTAATTTCTTCCTTAGTTTGACTCTCATAGAGGGTTCTTACCTAATAGTTTCAAACAAAACTTTTTTGAGGTTAAATGTTCTAATTCAAATTTTTCACTGAGCAAACCCAACTTATTTTGCAGGGTTTCACCATATCCTGTATGTATCCAAGAAGGAATATCCCAGCTTCTAATATTCACAGTGAAATACATTTTTTT